CCGTGAGGGAGAAGTAATGGTAAGCAACATTTAGAAAAAAGTATAGCAGACAGAATGGACAAGAATGCTGATTTATTGTACAAGGACACTGCTGGGTACTAGCAGAGTCAGCATGAATGAGCACCTTTAATACAAAGACAGGGCCCTATTGAAACATGTTCGGCAAATCTGTGCATTCCCTCCTGTGCTCCCTTGCTAAATACATAGTTCAAGAAGTTCCAGTTTTGCTAAATAAAGCTTCCACGAAATGTTCTTCCAAGTACAAAGTGGTCAAAATTGTAGGTTGCCTGCTATCTGATGTCAAAAGATCCTTTTTGCAAGCATAGTGTTAATACACTAGATAGTGTGCTTATCTACTAATTGCCAGCCACCACTTGTAGACTGTTCAGAATTTTAAAGGATGTTTTCAGCTTTGATGAAAAATTTAATGAAGCAGCTGCTCATAACATCTTATTTGGTCTGAATATTTGGAAGTTGCCAAGTAAAATTCTAGCTGATGATCAGTTCCACATGGGGAGAAATCAGTCATTTCTTGTAAGTTTTGTAATGAATTCAATGCTGGTTGAACTTACATGAGCAGTTACAGCATATCACTGAAAGATCTGAACCTTTAACCTGACATTGGTGATTAAATGGTTTTGAACATCTCTAGGCAGTTATGTTTGGGGTTTGACAAGGATTTGCAGAACTGCTGAATGACTGATCATAAGAAGTTGATTGATTCATGAGCCACCACTTCCAGTAAGTGGAGGCCAATCTTGAAAGTCTATGGGGTTACAGGTCAAAGTGTGGACCAGATCCCAACTGAGAAGTGGTCTCAAGAAGCATATTTTGCCATTTGCAACTACAAAGACCAAATCCCATATCTAGTCACTTAACAGCCCTACAGCAAGTGCTTACATGAAAAAGTGACATTACTTATACAGACATACTTCAACTACTTCAAATGCAACCTAGTAGATGGAAATGAGGATCTGTTTGTTCTGCAAGTGTTTAACTCCCCAATCCACCAGTGACCTCATTGACTGCATCACATGAACCCATGATCTAGTCTAGGGGTGCTCAACTTCTGGCCCACAGGGCTCCCCATGGGTTGGGAAATTTGTCAGCAGAGGGAGTTTCAGCAGTTAATAATGGCCACCCTCCTGCCCTGCCAGATTCCCAAATCCCAAGCCCTGTGCAGCTGAATCAGGGCTGGGTCATGCCCCTGTCTCTGTGGATCTGGGCTGGGTCAAGCTCCCTTCCCCCTGTGGGGCTGGGCTGCTCACTGCTGCCCCCTCACCCGCATAGCCAGATGGGATCCCACTGCCCCAGGTGCTGAACTGGCAGATCTGGCCCACTGATTGACTGGGCACAGCCCATCCACCATGCTGGACAAAGAGGTTGAGCACAACTGATTTTGTCAGGTTCAAGAAAGCAGATGAAAACCAGTTTTACCCCAGAACTCACCTGTGTCATTGTGATATTTACTCATTTGCCCATTTTAAAAATGTATTTTGCTCCCTTGTTGCTGCATGAAGTACACATTGGAAGAGGGGAAGGGGAAAATCACCCCAAACAAAGTGCTGTTAAATTCATGAAGTACAAATGATCTGCTCCCTTGCAATCTTTCAGTATGTAAAGTGTTGCTTGTAATAGTTGGCAGATTCAGACAAAACGAAATTCAGCTGCTGTTGGGATTTGCCTAGTTTAATGAGGTCATAGTGCACTGCAGGCAGAGGAACAAGAGATGAAAGGTCTCAATCAAAATAGCTGAAAAAAATCCATGCAAGACTGACAATCAGAAGCACAAAAATACTCCAATTTTTTAAAATTTTATTTAATCAAAGTTAAGACGTGGATAAACATAAATACAGCACAGTTACTTCAGATCATTCTTCATATTGGTGTACATACAGACTGATGAATGTAATCCCAATGAAACCTGCAGTCAATGAAGTGCATACAGCCTCCCCCCACACACACAAAAACCAAAACCATTTTTTAAAAAACCACGCAAACTTAATCTCAGCACACACTCATTACAAATGATTCATACATAAATAGGTAGTGGGTGCAAACAAGCTAATATGCCAACATGTATATCCTTTCTTGTTAATGGGGAGGGGGAAAAAAAACAACAACAACAACAAAAAAAACCCAACCAGAAGCAGCCATAATGATTAAAATACATTCAGTTACTGATAACTAGTTGTGCCATACAAGGCATTATCAAAAAAAAAATTGTGCTGCAGAGAAAAGCTATATACAACAAGAAATAAACTGCAAAGTTAACGCATGCATGCTTTACGCTGGGAAAGCACAGCCCTCCAATATTTTTCTCCATGTTTGTTATAAAAGCCCTCTGCACTCAACTAAAATTAAAATGATCTTAAAGGATAATACTTGTAAAGTTTTAAGTTTTCAGCCACAGAAAACTGCAATGAAAATAAAATGTTGAGTCATTTCAAAACAAACAAAAGAAAATAAACGAAAAAAATCTATTCATCTGATGACATGCATGATTAAAAGGTCTAGGCAAGGTACACTGCTCTACATTCCTGATGACTAAGGAAAAAAGCTCAAGTCGATTTAATCTGCAGATGGTCAGAGGATTTTGTATTCTAGCAGAAGCAGCAGT